ACGTGCTGGTGACACTGGCGTTGCCTTCAATTTGATTATATTAAAGACACCACCGCTCTAAACTTGTTCAGGCACGCCCAAGCCGACCATACACAAAGCGACTATAAAACGGCGACTGCGAACTCGTTTAGGCATGCTCCGAAACATCAGCAGGGAGGATGTCAACGTACACTTCTTACGCACGCCCATCGACCTCACACTCCCGCTTTACGCACGCAGGCTTGAGTCGGCCCCACAGATTCTTGCCCTGGAAGAAAACTTCATCGTCATGCTCTCTATCCTACAGACCCTCCTCTCCCTCCCTCCCTTCATCCCTCTATGATGTCCTTCCCCTCCCTTCCCTTCCCTTCCCCACCCTTCCCGCGCGTGCCAGGCACGTGCAAGACTGCACGGCTGGTACGCACAGCCCTCCGAAGTCCCCGAGACTGCACCGGTGCAATCCGGCTGGGGCTCCAGACTACAATTGGGCAGTTTCGCCGGTGAAGTCACACAGACCCTCGAGTTGGTCAAATTGGTCATGTAGTCTTTGGCCCTTCCTCCATTTCGCGCGCAGGTTTCATTGGGCACCGCAGAGTCAAAATAATCAACGAAGCCGACACTGTCGTGAAGTTTCTTCCCCTGATCATCGCCATCGTCTCTATCCTACGGACCTTTGGGTGGGTTGAATTGGTCCTTGAGTCCTTGACCCTTTCCCTCCCTTCCGCGTTGGGCAGCGGGCTGAGCCGGGACGCGCTGCGGCGTGGCGCGCGCCCCGCAAGATGCAGCGCATTGTGGGCTTCCGGGGCTGCTTGCGAAGGTCACCGAGGGCTCCGCACATGCTAATGAGGGCCCCTCTCACGACAGTGTCCCAGCTGATGGGGTCCTCGGTCCCACATGGCAGGATTCGATGCGATGGGGTCCCCCAAACACGACAGGGGAGCTTTTGGCACGATCGTGTCCCACATGGGAGGGTCCTACACCTTATGCGGCCCCATGCGATGCGCGGCCCCACCCGGTAGTGCCCCGCACGAGAGGGGTATCCTACGAAGGAGGGCGCCCCACGCGATATGGCATCCACACGATTGCGCTCCGCAGCATAGAATCCCGCATGATGTGGCTCCGGGGGGTCCAATTCCACACCATGCTTCGCGGCGTGGTGTTCGCCGAGGTGCCCGGTGCACAGGCCTGACTTTGTTTTGTTTCAATGGCCTCTGTTTTATTTCAATGGCCTTTGTTTTACTTTATTACGCCTTTGTTTCATTTCAATGGGCTTTTATTTCAATGTTTTGTTTCAATGGCTTTGGGGGAGTAAGTGTTGCGCTGGATGTGGACACAGACTGCTTGGGGGTCCACGAGGGTCCCACACGCTAGGTTCCCACGCGGTGGTTTCCCACACGACACGGTCCGATTTGGTCCCAGACGATCGGGTCCGAATTCTGTGGAGGAGAAGGAAGGGGAGGAGGAGGAGGAGGAGGAGGAGGACGAGGACGTGGGGAGGCCTGCGATGCTCCGCCCGCCCTTCTGCGCACGGTCCCCGCGGGCCCGGCGGCGTCGGGTCCCGCACGAGAGGGCGTCAGTGGTCCCACCCCATTGGTCGCCAGTCATATTATTTACAGAGTGTTGGTTTGGGATCCACGCTGGCACCATCAGCCTGCATGTAAATCCTCGACGTCATTATTGCTCGCGCTCGTCGCATACATCGAGATATTACGTTGCGCCGTTCTGCATCGCCGTGTTCTGTTTGGCCCTGGTCGTACACCCGAACCGTACACAAGATCAGGCACTGGAATCACAGCCCGAATCCAGCGCCTGTGTTGTTAGACATCTCATCGGATCGGTCAATTTGTAGGCATAGTATCAGGACTAGCCCTATGCCTAACCTTTCGTAGCCATACGCCTAGCACGAATCGCTTCCCCCACATACAACTCACAGATGCCCCAAACCTCTTGTTCTCGACCTTGCTGGTGGACAGTGCAGTATGGATTCGGTTATAAGCTACATTATTTCACGGCATACTACTCTTTTCCTCTTCAGCATGTCTTGGTCAGCCCGTTTTGCATGAATATGGTTTTCACGGCCACCAGGTTGTCCCCAGTTGCGAGATGCCGTTCTGAGTGGGAGTTACCCTAAGCATAAAGTAAGGCCAACACACGGGCACTAATAAGAACAACAACCACAACAACAACAACAACAACAACCACAATGACAACGACACCAACACCAACAACACCAACAACAACAACAACAACAACAACAACATCAACAACAACAACAGCGTGAACTCTGTGCCCCGCCCTACTCTCTCTCGAGCCCTCCCCCCCTCCCATCTAGCCCCCTCCCCGCGCCCATCCCCTCACCCCCGCTCCCCGCACGTCACCTCCCCTGCCGTTCCCCCTCCCACCACCTCCCCAATCGCTGTGCGCCCGCTGCGCTGCCCGTCAGGAGTGCGCGGAGTGCTCTCTCCCCGGGGCCTCCTCTCCTGCAGGGGGGCCTCGCTGCCATCCAGCCAGTCCAGCCAGCGCGATGCAGCTGCGTACACCTTATGCGATGCTTAGGAAAACCTACGTTTTCGTCCAGAGTCTCGATTATTCTTAATTTTTCAATGTAAATCCCAAGATTTTGATAGAAGTTCTGGGTTACATTCAATTTCTGAGACTATGAATTTCTTAACCCATGATTTCTTAAGCATTTCGCAGGGTGTATATCCCAGGTTTGCAGGTTGCCTGAGCCCAGGGGTGCAGGAGAGACGCGAAGCGGACGTGGGTGGACAGATGGCGGGCGGAAAATGCGGGAAGGAGAGCCACGAGTTGGGTCGGCAGGTTGTCTACACGTCAGTGCGGGGACAGAACCGAGTCAATTACACATGCAGCCAGGGGAGGAGCAGCTTCTCAACATGACTGGGACAGTGCCCGTGTCTTCTTACATTTGGTGGTGAGGGCATGGTGCACACCGACGGTGTGGGCATGATAGGTGTGTGTGCTCCCATTGTCGCCACAAAGGTCCAGGCGAATGTGTATACCGTTGAGCACTAGGATAAGTATTATCATCATTATCAGTCTCACCACAGTTGGTTGACTCGAAATATTATATCAGCCAGTGACGTTTGTATTAGTTGGCGTGGCGTCGTCAGAGTTTCGATTCGCATGACAATGCACAATGATATTGGTACCAGCATCGAGCATACCAGCACAAGTCATGACACTGGGATGGCTGAGAGAAGCACCAGGGAATGAATACTATTACAACTGCAGTCAAGAAGCCTACGGCAATGGGGACAGCCACCATGATAGGAGCGTTATGACGAGGGGCAATTAGGAAGAGAACTTGTTCTTTGGGGAGGAGCTCGAAGGACCCAGCATGAGGCGGCAGCAACATGAGGGCGCATGGAGCGCACAGTGCCGCAGGGCCTGGCGTGGATGTGCCACCAGGAGGCGCCGCGCGCATCGGTGGATTTTCCTCTTTCCCCGACTGCTGTGCCATGCGTGCAGTGCGCTCCAGATAAGCAAACTTGGCATGCATGCCCTCGCACCTCGGATTGCACCTGCACGCCCACGGACGTGCACCAGCGCGCGCCAGGGCAGAGGAGGGAGGCAGAGAGGAGGGGACCGCCGAGGGCGGTAGGGGAGCGCGGAGGGATGCGGGGGAGCGGGAGGGGGAGGGCGAGGGAAGGACGCTCCTCCTCCTCCTTCTCCTCCTCTTTCTTCCCTGTCCTCCTCCTCCTCCTCCTCCTCCTCCTCCTCCTCCTCCTCTGCTCCTCCTCCTCCTGGGGGGATGGCCGCGCCCGCGAAGCGCACGCCGACATGCCGCGCGCACGGGCGCTCGCTCTTGGCCTCCCCCCCCCCTTCCCCGCCTCGGTGTGTTGCGAGCGTGCCGCCCTGCGGGTGGGCAGGCGCCTGCGCCTCGGCCCAGGCTCGCCCTCAGGGCGCCAGAGACGGGGGCACAGCAGTCGGGGGCACGGGGAGCGCCGATGTCCGCGTTTGGCTATGCCCCCAGGGGCCCCGGGTGCCGTGGGTGGGGGCAGAGCTAACGGGGGCAGATGGAAAAGCCTGAGCCCCCGTTTGGCTGAGTCCCCGTTTACGAAGCCCCGACGTTCTCTCGTGCGCGCCTTGCGCATGCAGTGGTTCAGCGGCCGACAAAACGGCACATTCTAGTTGTGCTGTGCCACCGGGGACACCTGTCCAGGGGCGGTTGGGAATTCCATACGCCTACGGTGGCGTGTCGGCGTAGAAACGTCCCAGCTGTTCTGGAACAGGCGTCCCCGGACGGCGGAAAAGCTTGTGTGATACTGTGTCTCGTCCGCTGGGTGGCGTTCGCCTGCCTTCGGTGGACCAGGGCAGAGGTTGGCACCAGCACCAAGATCGGCGGTTCCTTCCACCGAAGGCTGGATGATCCCGATCTCCGTGGTAGCGGCAATACTCGGACTGCTTCGATGGCCGAAGATTGCCAGCACCAGAAGCTCAGATCATGTTCCCCCGGTGGAGATTTCCCTCTGTGTTGGTGTTGGCGCCACTTTGCCCTGGCATCGCTCGGACGTGTGCACTTTTGGGCGAGGACACTCGAGGAGCATCTCGGAGCATCTCGCGACGTATCCCATTCGCGAGATCGGAACATGCAGGGGGGCATGGACGTCTGAGCGATGGCGAGCTGCAGGCCTCTACTGCCTCGCTCTTCCCCTCCCGCGCCCCTGGTGCTCCGGGCGCTCGCCTGCCGCTGCCCTCCCTCGACGACGGAGAACACAGCACAAGCATCAGCATTGTTTCGACGGCCCGCGCGGATGTCTTGGCTCGGCGCTCGGTCCCCCTGGCGGCGCCAGACCGTCCAATGTTTCTGCTTACAGTGGAGACCACTCCACAAGAAACCTTCCACAAGAAGCCCAAGTCCATTGATTTTTGGTGTGGGAACGCCACGCTTGCCATAGCAAAACCATCGAAACCCAAGAAGCCCAGGGCACCCTGGAGGCAAGCAGGGCGTTCCTCGGCATGTGCCTCCACTGTATGCTTAAGTCGGGCCTGTCCCTTACAGGGGGAATATTCAAAAAGGGTCAAAAAATAGTCTGGGGACTATTTGTTGAGTATTTTGGGGAATCTTTTGAGCATTGTTTGATATTTTTTCGTTCAAAATCCCCCTGTAAGGGGGACAGGCCCGACTTAACTGTATGCAGTCTTTTCGTCCTCTCCTCCCCAGCGCGCCGCAGTGCTCGGGCTGCACTGCCCCCCCCCCTCCACTGCGGTGGTCGGACCTCGACGGGCGGGCGGCCCGCTCCCGCGACAGAGCAGCGCACACGAGGAGGAGGAGGAGGAGGAGGAGGAGGAGGAGGAGGAGGAGGAGGAGGAGGAGGAGGAGGAGGAGGAGGAGGAGGAAGGGGAGGAGGAGAGGGAGGAGGGAGGAGGAGGGAAGGAGGAGGAGGAGGATGAGGAGGAGGAGGAAGGAGGAGGAGATTGACGACCGCGGTGGTCGGACCTCGACGGGCGGGCGGCCCGCTCCCGCGACAGAGCAGCGCACACGAGGAGGAGGAGGAGGAGGAGGAGGAGGAGGAGGAGGAGGAGGAGGAGGAGGAGGAGGAGGAGGAGGAGGAGGAGGAGAGGGAGGACGGGGAGGAGGAGGAGAGGGAGAGGGAGAAGGAGGCAGGAGGAGGGAGAGGAGGGAGAGGGCAGGGAGATGAGGGGGGAGGCAAGGGAGGGATGATGCAGAGGAGGTAGTAGAGGAGCAGGAGGAGGAGGAGGAGGAGGAGGAGGAGGAGGAGGGAGGAGGAGGAGGAGGAGGAGGAGAGAGGAGGAGGGGGGGGCGGGGAGGCAGGGGAGGGATCAGGCAGATGGGGAGGAGGAGGAGGAGGAGGAGGAGGAGGAGGAGGAGGAGCTGGAGGAAGAGGGAGGAGGAGAAGGAGGAGGAGGAGGAGGAGCACCAGGACTGGGAGAACGACGTGGGCGGGGAGGAGAGGAATCGAGAGGAGCATCGGGGGAGATTCGGGGAGCATCGCTCGCCCAGGGGCCGGACAGCTCTGTGAAGGGGGGCATCCTGGCCGACGAGATGGGCATGGGCAAGACAATCCAGGCTTGGCAGTGTGGACATTCTCCTTTCAGCTCTGATTGTTTTCGACTCTCTAGTGACCTTCGGCCCAACCCGCCACCGTGCTTGGGTCATGGATAAAGGGGTTCCATGAGAGGCCTCTCGGACGCCTCTGAGATGTCTCTTGGGGACTATTGGCAGCCTGTGGAGGCCTCTTCGGGGCCTGCTGGCGGTCTCGGGTGCCATCTCGGAAAAAGAGCAACGGTAGTTCGTGATCTCCCTCTTGGGCTCTTCGTGAGGCCGTCTTGGAGGCCTCTTCGTGGCTCGGGGGCCGTATTGGGGGGAGTGTTGGGTCGTCTTTAATTTTCTCAGGGCCGAAACGAAAAGACTAAAGCAGTACACACATCGTAGCTGATTCAATGATGTTGGTCTCTCGGGGTGGCCCCCAAGGGCTTCCAAGACGGCCACATAGGCCCCCAAGAAGACTTTCCAGGACAGGCCCTGAGATCATATTTAGCTGTGTTGGAAGTGTGGATTCGAAACCATACTTCCGGGGCCTGTGGAAAAGCCACGCGGAGATGGTCGAAAGCGCCAAGGCACGCACAATAGTCGCAGGAACTTCCAATTTGGCCCGCCAAAACTACGTCACACCCCGCAGTTGCGGATGAGAGTGAGGGGGCGGCGGGGACGTCGGCAGTCTGCGAGGCTCTGAGAAAGCCTGCCGCAGGCACCAAATTTTCACAAGTTGTACAACAAGCGCGCCTCAGGAGCCAATTTTGTGCTTGAAGCAGTGTCGGTGGGTCGCAGGTGGATCGCGGGCGGGTCGCTGGTGGGTCGCTGGTGTGCGGCGGTGACGTCGGCAATCTGTGAGAATCTGAAGAAGCCCGCCGCATGCGCCTGATTTGCACAAGCTATACTACGAGCCTGACACAGGCGCCGATTTTCTTGTTAAAGCAATGTGGGTGGGTCGCGGGTGGGTCGCGGGTAGGTCGCGGGTGGGTTGCGGGCCGGGTCGCGGGTGGGTCGCCGGTCGGCCGCGGGTGGGTCCTGGTCGGGTCGCGGGGTGGGTCGTGAGTGGGTCGGGGGATGGGTCGCGGGTTGGTCGCGGGGTGGGTCGCGGGTTGTATCGCGGGTGGGTCGTGGGTGGGTCGCGTGTGGGTCTTTGGTGGTTCGCGGGTGGTTCATGGGTTGGTCGATGGTGGGTCGCGGGTGGGTCGCAGCTTGGTCGCGGGTGGATCCGAGGCCCAAGTTCGCGGGGGGGTGACGACGACAACACCGCAACAACAACACCAGTTTTAAGACTGTTCGCTCTTATCTGCTCGAGTGTCCGTCAACGCGTGTTTCCCAAACCTTCGATACTCGCCCTCTTCGTCTTCGATCGTGCCCCTTTTGGGGGGTAATTTTTCTTCCCTGCAGGCCGAACCCCGGCAAACGGCGGGGCGGCCGCGGACCGTCGACCTGCCAGCGTCAGCGCTGATCGGCGGCAACCCGACCCCAAGAGGGACGGACAGGGGACCGGCCACGACGACGACGACGACGACGAGCGAGAGCGAGTGCGGGGCCACGAAGGGCAGGAAGGAGGCCACGAAGGGCGACAGCGGGGCCACGAAGGGCATGCGTAGACAGCCACGAAGGGCGCGAACAAGCGGGGGCCACGAAGGGCAGATAATGCGGGGCCGCAGAGGGCAGCGACGGGGCCACGCGGGGCAGCGAGGTGGCCACAAAAAGCGACTGCGGGGCCACGAGGGGCATGCAGATGGGGCCGCGGGGGCCACGAAGGGCATGCGTACATTGGGCCGCAGAGAGCAAGAACAAGGCCACTGAGGGCAGCAGCCGGCCGCGAAGGGCAGCGAGGCGGCCACGAAGAGCTGCCACGGGGCCACGAAGCCGTTGCAGATGGGGCCCCGGCGGGCGCGAGCGAGCGGGGGGCCACGAAGGGCATGCGTACATTGGGCCGCAGAGAGCAAGAACAAGGCCACTGAGGGCAGCGACGGGCCGCGAAGGGCAGCGAGGCGGCCACGAAGAGCTGCCACGGGGCCACGAAGGGCAGCGATGTGGCCACGAAGGGCTGCAACAGGGCCACGAAAGGCTGCAACGGGGCCACGAAGGATTGCAACGGGCCCGCGAATGGCTGCGACGGGGGCCACGAAGGGCATGCGTATATTGGGCCGCAGAGGACAAGAACAAGGCCACGGAGGGCTGCAACGGGCCGCGAGGGGCAGCGAAAGGGCCACGAAGGGTTGCAACGGGCCCCCGAAGGGCAGCGAGGAGGCCACGAAGGGCTGCCACGGGGCCACGAAGGGCAGCGATACCCCGAGTCCGAAGTAAGCTGCGAGGGAGTCCTAAGCGTGAGCGCGATCCCTGAATGCCTGAGTGTAGGGAGCGCGGCGCTGGAGTAAATTGCGGGGAGCTCCAAGAGCGCGATTTTTTAGTAATTTGCAAGCAGGTATCCAGCGAGAGCGCGACTCCAGAGCGCCGAGAGCGATTCCTTAATAAGTTGAAAAAGAAGTCCCAAACGAGAGCGCGATTCCTCCGTAACATACGAGGAAGTCCCAGGCAGGAGCGGGGGTCTTGGTTAACTTGTGAGGAAGTCTCAGGCGGGATCAGTTTTTGTTGTAATCCGGGGGCCAACAACGCAGCTTCAGGGTGCGGGCCCTGGGGGGAATACGTCATTTGAAACAACACACTGGTCACCGGAGGGGATCAACAGTAATTCCTCCGTGATGAACAGCTCAACAACACAACAGCAGTAACAAACGCAACAACCACAACAGCAGCAACAACAATACCACCAGTAATACAGCAACAACATGAACAACCGCAACAACAACAATACGAACACTTACAACAACAAACATTCTCCACGCCGGGAAAACCAACCCAACCGCGCAACCATGTACGAGCTCCCATGCAAAAAATTCGACAGGATCTGGGGGAGATGTCGGGCCATGGAGCAGCAGTTGCAGCAGCAGCAGCAGCAACAGCAGTAAGACCAGCAGAAGCCAGCGGCAGCAGGCGGTGGCAAGCATCGCCAACACGCACGAGGCCGCACCGAGCAGCAACAACAACAGCAGCAACAGCAACAACAACAACAACCACAACGTTCTTCCGGGGTCTCGCGGTGTAGTTGCTCATCAGTGCCTGGTGCAGCGGCCCGGCCGCGAGCGGCGGCGTGTGCCGGCGGCGGGCGGGCGGTTTTCGGACGAGCGGGGCCGCTGACCGAGGACTCCGAGGCCTGAGGGGTGTTGCGCGCTATTCTGCCAAGGTGCAGGAGGAGAAGGGGGAGGAGGAGGAGGAGGAGGAGGAGGAGGAGAGGAGGAGGAGAGGAGGGGAGGAGGAGGAGGAGGAGGAGGAGGAGGAGGAGGAGGAGGAGGAGGAGGAGGAGAGAGGAGGAGGAGGAGGAGGAGGAGGAGGAGGAGGAGGAGGAGGAGGAGGAGGAGGAGGAGGAGGAGGAGGAGGAGGAGGAGGAGGAGGAGGAGGAGGAGGAGGAGGAGGAGGAGGAGGAGGAGGAGGAGGAGGGGGAGGAGGAGGAGGAAGAGGAGGAGGGGGAGGAGGAGGAGGAGAAGGAGGAAGAGGAGGAGGAGGATTGACGACCGCTACACGCCGGTCGTTGAAAGCAGGTGTTTTTGGATTCAGATCCCAGTCTATTTCAAGTCCCTTCCTACGTCAAGAATCTATGTGCCTCGCCGTGGTTTGCAATTATTTGGGAGGGCCTGGACCCAATCTACTTTATCCGCCTCTTTACTCAGTGTGTTTACCTTCTTCCGACCGACGGGTAATGGCGTAGCGGAATCTACAGCAGCAGCAGCAGGCAGTAGCGGCAAGCCACATTGGCGCGTCCCCGTGCATGCGGATCAAATTGTCAGAGGAATCGTGGCCCTGGTGGCGCAGATCCGCTGCATGGCGGAAAGCGCTGAAAGATGCCACTGTTTCGAAGAGCGATGGACGCGTTCCGAGCAGCGATTGGCGGGGATATTGGCACTAGTAGTACCTCTTTTTCCTGATGATGAGGAGTTCGCGGGATTGGTGCAGCTTTCGGCTTGCGATTGGCGTGGAGTCGGAATTGCAAGATTTATCCATACGCCCTGCAAAGAGTGCACATTCATCTGAAGCTGATCATCTTCTTTTCGAATTAGTTGAGCTCGCTCGGTGCACCAAACCCAAAGACTCGCGATGTCACATATGTTACAGTCGCTCTACTGACTCGGCTTCTACGTTTCCACATGTCTCTCGCACTTTCTATACGCCTAGTTCTTCCAAGCATCACGCATGTCATGACTCGCATCATTGTGCTGCATGCGATCACTAGTATAACAAGCCTGGTCATGTTAACACTGCAAGCTCTTCCAACTAGTCAAAGTGTTGAAGTACGTTCGCCCATCCTATGATGTTTCTTTTCAACGTTTCTAATCATTATGTGCGATTCGGAAAACGTCGTGCTCGCAGACTGCGTGCCCGACCATGGGGCGGTGGGCGGGTTGCTTGTTGGTTGTAACGTCATGGTGTTACGGGTGCCGTTCTAATATGATACATGTTGTCGTGTGTGATCATTGTTTCAAGGTTGCTGTGGTTGCGAAGTGCGTGCATCATGTCGCCGACCGCATCCCGTTGCATGTGTATACAATGCGCGTTTGTTATTGTATCGCATGTTGGTGTGCTGATGCCGACGATATCTGTCATGGTAGATCGAGGTGTGGTCGCCACTTGTTGTAGCATGCTTGAGCATTCTTCTGGCTGCGCGTTTACAGTGGCAATGGCAATGTCGTAGGTGTCTGTGAGTTTCTCGTTTGTGCGGCATTGCCGTACGTGTGCCGTATGTCTTGTCATGTGCGAGTGCATATGTGGATTGTTATGTTCGTGCGCGTGTTCATGAGTGTGTGGATTGTTGTTGTTGCTGCTGCTGTTGTTGTTACAGTAAATCGGTGTCAGGTTTCTTGCGTTGTTTGGTCCTTGCATCGAATCCGCAGCGCCGCGGGTTTCCTGCCCGTTACCTCCTCCCCACCCCTTTCCCTTCTCCTTGCCCTTCTGTTCTCCGCATGTGAATTTCGGCGCACCCCTCACGCGTTTCGTGACCCCTGAAGCGAATCCCATTTACGGCACCAGTGCGCGCGCACGTCTGCCGCATCCCGTCCATTCTGGCACACCCCTCACACACATTTCGTGCCCACCTGCGGAACTCAGTTCCCGCACGCGTATGCCGCACCCCGAGCACTTCGGCACGCGCTCGCGCTCCCACACAGAGCTCCACCTGCGGTCCCAGTGCCCGCGCGTGGACGTCGTGCTCCGCCGACTGTGGCACACCCCTCCCTGAAGGAGATCCACCTACGGCCCCAGTTGGCAAGCGCGTATGCTGCGGGGCGCCCATTGCGGCACACCCTTCACACGCATCGTGTGGGCGCGCGCGTAAACCGTAGCGTTCCCAAATCGGCGCAGCCATCACACTTCTCGTGGCCCTTCCATCGGGCGCTCTATCTACGGCCCCTGTGTGCCCTTGCGCATGTAGAGTTCTAGCCAAGCCCTAGCCAGTCAATTCATCCTCACATTGACAATGTTGAGATGTGTGGTGTTCCTGGTCTGCCCAGCGTACATGGAGGGACAAAGTGTGAGCACAGCTAGCTGTTGTGCCAGTGTAGAGGGTAGGGTTGACGGTTCTCTGGTGTGAGGGCCAGCGGATGGGACAGGATGACCGGTAATTGTTTGTAGCAGTGGCGACGTTGTTGTCGTTTGGCCAGTGCGATGATTTGTTGGTGGGCGTCGTGTGGCACGACTCGCCCAGCCCGGGGGGCGAGTATCAGTTTTCTGGCAGATCCCGGGCCAGGGAGCGCCCGCGGGGGATGGACGTGGACGGGCCAATGTCGTGGAGAGACGGGCGCACCGTTTGTCGCCCCGAGATCCAGCGGCTTTGGGGAGACCTCGGCGTGCCCCCAGCTCCTTTCCCCCGGGCGCGCTCTCATCCCTCGCGGGTTCCCCACAGCCCCTCCTCCATCCATTCGGACGTGGCCGGGCCCTTTTTGGGGGAGAAGGTTGAAGGACACGCCGCACAGCCCCGAGAGCCAGCGGTTTTGGGAAGACCTTGGCGTGCCCCCAGTTCCTTTCCCCCAGACGCGCTTTCAACCCTCAGGGGCTTCCCACAGCCCCTCCTCCTCCTCTTCGTCCTCCTCTTCGTCCTCCTCCTCCTCGACGCCTCGATGCGCATGGCCCAGTCGTCGGCAGCGGCGTGCCGGGCCCTTTCTTGGGAGAAGGGCGCGCCGCACAGCCCCGAGGGCCAGCGGTGTTGGGAAGCTCTCGGCGTCCCCTCCTCCCCTCAGGTGCGCAGCCCCTGGGCGCGCTGTCATCTCTCGCGGGGTTGTCCGCGGCCACGGCCCGTCGACCCTCGCGATCCCCCCGCTCCTCCTCCTCCTCCTCCTCCTCCTCCTCCTCCTCCTCCTCCTCCTCCTCCTCCTCCTCCTCCTCCACCCCCTCCTCCTCCCCTTCCACAATTACTCAATATGAATACTACTCTCCCTCTTCCCCCGATGGCGGCCTGAAAGTATTAGACCCCCCCCGCGCACTGTTTTTTTACACACAGGATTCCTGGGAGTTGGCTTTTCGCTTGCGTTTTTTTCAAAATGATGCTCTCGCTGAGGCGCCGGCCTCATTTCTGCTCCCGAATCGTTACGAATCGTGCTCCCGCTGCAGCGTGGGCCTCATTTTCGGATCGGTGTTTGGCCTCCGTCGTGCAGGATGGCGTTCTCGCCCCAGCGCGGGCCTCTTTCTCACGCGCCCATCCGCCCGCCACCACCGGGCCGCACCACCACCACCACCACCACCACCACCACCACCACCACCACCACCACCACCACCATCGCCACCACCACCACCACCACCACAACCACCACCAGCACCACCACCACCACCACCACCACCAGCACCGCCACCACCACCACCACCACCACCACCACCACCACCACCACCACCACCACCACAACCACGCACACACGCACGCACGCACGCACGCGCACCACCACCCACTACGCACGCGCGCGCGGAGCCACAGGTCCGCTACGACACGCGTCCGCGGATAGAGAAAATCAGCGCCATGGTAAGGGATGGGAGGGAGGGGTAGGACGTCAGATATGACGCGAGCGCACCTAGCTTGTCCTCCTCCCCCTCCCCCTCCTCCTCCTCCTCCTCCTCTTGCCGCCGCTGTCTGGGGCGGAGCGCTGCGGACCCGGCTTTCAGGCGATCAGCTTGATGCTGGCCCGGAAGCAGAAGGCGGAGCTGCGTTGTCTCGCGTGAGTTTGTGTCTCCTGCGTCGCAAGCCCGGTCTCTTGCCTTCCTCGGCGCGAGAGTCGAGAGTGAAAGGGCGCACGACTGTGAACAGCTTAGTTCTTCGTTGTGGATTTCGGCTCCCTCGTGCCGTTCTGCTTTCCCACCGGCACTTCGGTGGCCAATTCGATACGACAATGGGCCAGCTTTTCGTGTGCGGCTCATCCTCCTCTTCGTCCTCACATTTCCCAGTTTAGGAATTAGGCAGAGTCATCAAATCTCGATGTCTTAGGGCAGACAAGCAGATGCGTCGGTATTTCTTTTCCTGCTCTCCTTCGAACTCCTTCTGTAAAGGGGCGGTGATGAAGCGCGCAGACATGTTTGAAACGGGAGACGGGAGGGGATAAGCGTAGGAAACAGTGGGAGTCGTTGAAGGAGAGGGGTGGCAACAGGCGGAGACATGGAACAGGGAGAGGAAACTAATAAGGATTTGAGGAGTGCAGTTGGTCGTGCCTAGTTCATTCGTTGCTAGATTACCCACGGCAGGAAGGCAGGTACCGAGCGCCTTTATATTTGGATAGAGTCGCTCGTTGCGCTTTCATATCGTCGAAGACGCCTTCGGCGAACCACCGCCGCCCCATGCCTTTTGGAAATGCCTGGGTGGCCCAACGTTGGCCCGAAGTTTGGCCACACGATTTGACCATGCGTTCCCCAGGCGTGGTGGAAACTCTTGAGCGAGCTCTTCGGGGAGGAAAGATCAGGGGAGGGAGGAGGAGGCCGCCAGAAATCCTCTTGGACAGATCCTCCCGACTCGGCCTGCGGCGATGACAGCCTTGGGAGCATCTGGGCCGTGCGGCGGCTGTCTTAGACCATGTTGGCAGTCTTCCATGGCCGAGGTGGTCATCATCGAGATCAGTTGGAGCCGCGCGGCGTCGCGGCCGCCTTGGAGGCCACCTTGGCCGTGTGGGGAGCAATGTTGGGATCCATCGTGGCCGTCCCTCCCGGAGGCCATCTTGCATCGACCCGACGCCACCTTCAGGGGAGCGCCGCCCATCTTGAGCCCGAAAAGTCCGGCATGAAGAATCGAAAGAATGAGTGGATAAAAAAAAAATAAAAAAAAAAAAAACAAAAAAAATCTTGAGCCCGAGCAGTCGCCTCTCCCGGGCACCTCTTGGGGCGCCCACGGAGCTCCTGGGCCTCTCTTGGGGTTCTCGTGTGGCAGCCTGGAGGGTCAGCAACTCAGGAGAAGCGAGAGGGCGAAACGTCAAACGTCAATGTTTCCCTTACGTCGGGCATGTCCCCCTACGAGGGGAATATTCAGAACATGAAAAATAGTACGGGGACGATTGGGTTATTATTTGTGTTAGCTATTGGGGCATGTGTTAAAACCAGTGTTCATTTTTCGTCCAGAATCCGCCCGCAGGAGGCCACGCCCGACCTGATGCTTTCCCGCAGAACCTGCGCTGGCCTCTCGGGGGGCGACGTGCGGGAGGACTTATGTACAGAAGCACTGCACCCTGCTGTGCCAGCTTGGAGGTCGCATTGGGCTATGTGTTGGGCCATCTTGGACGCTCGAATCGGTCGCGGGGCGCCCCGTCCAGACCCAGGGGAGGAGGGGGCAGGAGGAGGGGCACCCCCGAGGGGGGAAGGGGACGAATTCGGGGTGGAAGAGGAAGCGATCAGAACAACCGCTGCCCATCGGGCTGGTAGGATCTGAAAACCGAAGGGCTCGAAGGCACTCTACTCAGTCGCTGGGGCACAGTCGCGGATATTTGTCGGCGGTGTTTCAGGCAGAAGCCGTTGGTGTAGCACAGGCTGCGGTCGAGCCAGCACGAATTGTGTATATTAGTCCTTCAATTGGTCCAAGACTTTAGTTTTTATGGCAGAAGGGACGCGGTTGCATGATATTTTTCAGGTTGAATACTTGGGCCATTTGTACATTTGTACTTGTGACTCCTTCCATCGTGTGCAGCCGAATTTCTCTGCCGGTCGGCCTGTGACCCTTGCCGCATTCTGCCACAAGACCAACGAAGACATACTCAGCATCGAGCTCCTCGACTTGGTCCTTGTGTTCCGTCGCTTCTTCTCCGCCCGTCGTTGCCTCACTCTGTCATTCTGCCCGCTCGCGTTCCGTCCCCCTCCGGAGAGGCACCTTGCCTGGTCGTGTGCCCCATGGCGGCCGTGATGCAGTGGGTCTCCGAGATCGAGCGCCCCCGCCCGGCCTCTGCATGCCGCTTCTTGGTATCACCAGGGGGCCCGAGTTCTTTCGAAGCCCAGGTTGATTATCAAGGGCTCCCTCGAGGGCGCGAAGTTATTCGCGCTTCGCGGTCCTCGTTCCTTCTCCCCCTCCTCCTCGTCCTCCTATTCTCCCTTTGGGAGGGCGGCGCGAGAGCGCGAAGTTATTCGCGCTTCGCGCTTCGCGTAGCGCGAAGCGCGAAGTTGGGAGCCCTAGATTATGTGGGTTACCACACTTCAGACGAGGAAACGATACCCGTACCAACACCCTCGCCCCGTTCTCGGCCTTTTCTGGCCTCCTGGGAGGCCGTCGTCGCCACCGCTCGATTCGCCTCGAGATCCCAATCCCGACGTTGTTGGTACTTCTTGGCTTCCCCGAGTTTGGGATGGACTTGCAGCTGTGGTCAACGTGGGCGCTTGCCGACGAGCCGGCGACTGGCGTGCCGAGCGGCCCTGTGCAACGGGCCAGGCCGAATATCAGGAGGGGAAGAAACACACGGACACAATTCATTGTCGACTCCCAGGAAAAGATGGGGAGATATGGGAAGTGGGGGGGAAGACAGAAACCCAGAAAATATGGAAACATGGGAATTTCCTGTTATTTGTTTGTATTTCTTTGTGAGTTTGTGGGCCCCTTCATAATAGTTGGAGCCCGAGGTGGTCAAGGCCAGTCCCGTTGTCCGCACCAGTGGGTGGCAGTGTGCAGCTTGCAGGTGCCAGCTCTCGAGGCGGGAAACAAGACTACGTCGGCATAGGAAAGTTGCTCCGGACGCTTCAACGAAGCCCGTCCGCTTTGAGCAGCAGGTAGGAGCCATGGTGATGCGTAGTGATTGAATATCTTGGAACTGGAGTGATTCAGGTCGTAGCCAGGTGAACTCGAACCAGTGGGAAATCCAGAATAATGCCCACAGCAGATTCTACTCGTAGCCGACTCTCATCCAGTCCCTTTGCACCTACAGCCGACTCTCATCCAGTCCCTTTGCACCTACACTTAGACCAGGGTTGTGCTTCGAGGGGCAAGGCCGCGACTTGCAATCTCCGAGATTGTTCACACATCCAACTCGCACCGTCATGGTATGGAAGGCGTCTCCAGAGATTAGCGTCCGTCCAGGTCCAGCCTCGGAGTCCCGACCCAGTCCTGTTATCCCCAGACTTGGCCACCAGCCCACCCGAGGGAAGTCCCACAATCTGGACACCAGCCCATCCACTTGCACGCCACTGGAGACGAACGGGTGGGGGCTGGCCAGTACAAAGGTGTGCCAGGCAGAAGCGCTACGCCACTCCTACTCCTCTGCCTTCTACGCCTCGTCCTCCTCGTAGTCCCCGTCCCCGTCTCTCCTCCCCCTCCTTCAGTTCCCCACCAAGCGCCCTTCAGATCGGAATGGACGGCAAGCTCGATGCCGGCAGCAGCTCCACACACGTAGGCAAGTATAGTCGCCCTCCTCTTTCTCGTCTCGTCCAGGTCTTGGTCGGATTGGAAGCCTTGGCTCCGAACTGAAGCCAAGCGCTGTGTCGGCAGACTCCGCTTGAGATGGGGTGACTCATTTTGCAAACGATTTGGAAGTGGTCCTTAACGTTCTACTGATCGTAGGTCTGCCCAGGGCATGCCTGACTGCAGGCCTCCTCGGCGCTTCTTAGCCGACCAGCGTTGTCACTTATATCCGATTCGTTGATCACACCGTCTGCGTTCTAGGGGACCGCTCGGGTTACCAGAGCTGGCATGCAGATTGCCTGTCTTGTACTGTCCACTTTCTCGTCCCGTCCAGGATCAGGCTGCAGCCTGAGATTCGACGTCTCGAACAAGAATGCAACATCGCGAGAAATCATGACTGGAGCCCCGCACCCCATCTTTGCGCCATGTTTCAATGCGGATCGATCTGTGAGGGTCCCCGGGCCCGAAGGTGTTCGAAAACGTCCAGCTCGAACAGAATTGAGACGCCAGGATCTCGTGGCGTCCCCACTGGGGAAGAGACCCCGGGCAAGCCGCGCTTCTCTGCACAAGCGCGGGCCGTCGGTCGAAGAAGAACAAATAGTGCATAATCATAACAGCTTTCGAGGGTCCGCGCATATTTCCGGGATCTGCGCTTGACCCCCATTGCCTGCTCCTCCGGCGCGGGCCCCCGGCGCGCTCCGCGCGCCAGAGAGGCAGACCCAGCGCAGATCCAACCACTCCGCGCCGACCGTCGAACGTGTTGGTTCATGCCGCTTGTTCTTCTAGTCTCGCGGGCGATGTTTCTCCCCCAATCCCCGAGTTTCGCCCGAAAAGTCTGGCCGCTCAGAAGAATGGGAAAACCTTGGGATACACCCCAAGGGGGCCTATTCGGACGCACCCCTATCGAGAATGGACACCCCCCCATCGTATATCCCAGGGTTAGGCCCCAAATTTCTGGTCCATTCGGAATCCCCACGAAGCCTGGGATAGGGGTCGACATATCCCCTGTTATAGTCGGCCGGGGGGATCATCTCTTGGCTTCAGGTGAAAACAGCAAAAAACGGTACCGCTATCTCTCCCTCGTCGCCACGGCTGGATTCGCCTCGAGACTGTGGACAGGCCGCACCCCAGGAGAGGTCCGTGGAATAGCGGTGTGGTTATCGATTCACGTGCGCGCCCGCGGGGAGCTTTTGATGCTTTTGCCGCAGTTGGTGAAGTGCCGGGGTTGGTACCAGCGGGTTGCCAAGCGGTCGTTCCAGTCCTTTCGAGGCGACCTCGAGTCGAATGAGCGTCGTCGTCACCATCATCATCATTATCATCATCATCCTCATCATCATCGTCCACATTCCACGTTGCCTACTTTTTGAACAAGAACGAAGAGCCTATGTGAGGAGATGTTGCAGATCCCAGGGTTCCATGCTCAAACGGGTGGCCCGGGAGGGCGCTTCATTCTAGGCAGGAAATATTTTCCCACTCCGTTTTTACTCCTGCCCGTCCCTAACCTCCCATTACAGAAGCCAGCCATTGCAGGACAAATTGCAAAATGAATTCTAGAATCGGGATTTTCAGGAATGTTTGCGCGCAATCTGACGATCCCTTGCACACAGCGTGCACCTGTCTGCAACGGGGCCACTAGGCCTGAGAAAAATGGCGCGACTTCTACCACGCGATGCACATCCGTTTCATACGCCCGCTCAGCGAAGTCAGTTTGTTCAGACAGTCTTGCTGTATGGTTTACCATGTTCAATGTACTATTTGATCTTCATTTTCATAAAGCTCGCAAGGCGGGTCATGACGAGCAATCAAGGGCGCACGCAGAACACATCGATTACGTACGCTGCTCTGCAGAAGTTCATGTGAGAGGAATTCACTCACGCTGATGCTGCGATTTCTTCTGAAGTCATCAATCCATCCAGCAGCGAATGCCTTCAAATACAAAAAAAATCATGGTGCGCTGACGCCGATGCAGCCTGTCAGATCCCGAAGCCGTCCATACTGGCGAGGTGATTCAATGTAAGCGGCACGGGTAGAAATTGGTTCTGGAGGCTTGCGCGGAGGTTGCGAAGGGGCCAGGGTCATTGGCACAGGTGAATGAGCATGGGCTAGAAATTCGGGTAGAACCAGGCTTAGACCTGAATTTGAGTATGTATGTTTCAAGCGGGTGATGGGATCATCCTGACGCCCGGAATCAGGTTGTGGTGTAGAATTTTAGGTTGAGCCGATTTGGATCACATGTTGAAGTAGACGACAGTGGTGTCTGTCGATTTGCTGAGGGCACAAGTTTTTGGACGCAGGGTGTAGCCTGTAAGACTTGGCGAAAGTTGGCTGGGCTTCCACAAAACTAGGAACGCGCAGCCGAAACATGTCTTGTCAAAGCGCGAACAAATCGACGACGAGGACGAGGACGACGACGACGACGACGACGACGACGATCTGGGACCCACACATGTTCATCACCACCGCGGGCTGGTTTTCTGGCATGGGGGGTGATCGGATTATTGTTCCGGAGGTGGATTGCAGGGTGCGTCAAATCTCGCGATAATGACATGTCGCGTGTGCAGCGTCATTTGGGCACGCGGCTGCATGCGCAGACAACAACACATTCACGTGGTGTATATTTCGGGGTGGTGTATAATATTCTTGGGTGGGCACATCGTTTTTATACACCACCGCCGTGCTGCCATAGGGTGCTTGGGAGCAATTGTTCACGACTGGATGCGGCCCCCATCTGCGCGCATGACCACGTGGCAAGTACTTGCGCTTGGCGGGGGCAGGCAGCGACGCCATTGTCGGGGTGGTTGCGCGCAGGATTTGTTCCTTTCCTATGGCCGCCTGGTGGTGGTGTATATTTTGGGGCCCCGCAGACGAAAACGACGACGACGACAACCAGGACGACGACGACGAGAACGACGAGAATATTGAAATCATGATTGCTCTGCACGGTGTGGCCGACCGTGGCATCGAGGTGCCGCCTCTTCGGTGTTCCTTTCCAGTGGTGCGGTGTCATTGGCACGACACCGCTTGGTCTCAAAGCTGGGGCCCCCCGGTCATGGGCGGGGCACAGCCAGTCGTCAGGCTCCAGGCACCGCTCGGACGTGTGCGTTCTTCTCGGCGAAGACAAGACCATCGAGGAGCTTTTTGGGCCATCTTGCGAGAGGATACGCGCACGAAGCCGAACACTGCACGGGGAATGGGCGCCCGAGCGATGGGGAGGGCTTGGCTTCATGGCAGGACGGGCTCATGACTGGGACCGGCAGCAGGCGCTTCACTACTGAGGGCGCCCTCCGCGTCATGGTGTACCACGGCGTGGACAAGGCCGCCCCACCGCTGGGAGTTGCAGGGGGCTCCTCATCAGGCAGACCCAAAGGCATTCATAAAAAATCGCTCCGACGTTCCAGAACGCCCTCAGAGCGTTCCGGGAACGCTCGCGGCGCTGGATGCATCCCTCAGAGGTGCGAGGTCCCGGAGACTCCCAATTCGTTCTCATTCGATTTTGCTCCGATCCTGCCTTCGTGTTACCCGGCCTCTCTCAGCTGCCCGTGCTGCCAGGCTTGTGCGGGGAGTAGCTCGCTTCACGGAAGGCCGTGCGATCAGTGGGCGGGGCATCTCTTCGTGGTTTTCATCTTCGCATGCAGCGCGGGGATTGTCCAGGCTTCCTGCGGATGGGGGCTGGGGGATTCTCGTCGGTCTTTGACCCCTAAAGTCGCGATGACAGGAGGTTATCTATGTTGGGCTTGGCCGGAGGGTTGCCCAGGGTAGCTCCTCGATAGGTAGTTCGCCCCATTGTATTAGCCCCCTCGACGTTCACGAGCGAGGAGGGGGTCCGAGCTCGGGCTTCCTCAGAGCGCAGCCGAAACCGAGCACAAGAGTGGATGAGGCCTGTCGGGCTCCCTCACGTCATTACCATCCTCATGCTCACGGCTCTCTCTGGACCCTCTTTGTTCCCGCTCCCCCCACCCCAGGGCTCGTTTCGATTCCTCCGATTCGATTCGATTCGACTTCGATGGATTCCGATTCCGATTCGATTCGACTTGGGCTTCCGATTTGGCTTCCGATTTCTTATTGGCGGCATCCTAGCCTGCCGATTTCCGCCGATTCGACTTTTCCCGATTCGGCTGCCGATTTCCGCCGATCCGATTCATGTCGATTGCCGATCCGATTTATCGATTGGATTCTGGGCTCTCCTGCCACCCCCGCTCCGTCTCCCCCAGGGCCGCCTACGATCCGATCCGATGCGCTTCGATTCTCAGGCCTGCGCCGCGCTTCGGATTCGATCCGATCCGGCCCGGCTCACGAGCACCGGCCGGGGGCAGCCAGAGTCGGGCGCGGCGAGCCGAATTGGACCCCATTTTCGGGACGATTCGCTGGCGACGGAGGAGGAGGAGGAGGAGGAGGAGGAGGAGGAGGAGGAGGACCCGATTTGTTTCCGATCCGCTTTCGCGGCGCGATCCAGCTCGGGCCTGCTTTCCCCGACCCGCCCCCCCCCTCCGCGCTTCCGCCGCCTCCACCGCCTCCACCGCCTCCGCCGCCTCCCACGCCTCCGACGCCTCCACCGCCAGCGCCCCCCCTTCCCCCCCCCCAGACACCCGGCGTCATGATCTGCGCATGACGTGGGCCCCCCGAGGTCTCGAGCCCCTTCCATTGACCGGTGTCTCATCCTTGGTCGTTCTTTTGTGGCGGCCCCAGGGCTCGCCGAGCTTCCCCTCCCCCCCGAGGCCGAAGGTAGCAGCCACAACAACAAGTCTCGGTCACGATTTGTCTTGACCCGAGGGGGTGTGCCCCCCCCGCCCGCCTCCACACTCGAGCAGTGGCGAAGCGTCCTGGCTTGCCTACCGTAGGCCCACCAAAGAATGTTCTGAGACCCTCATGTGGTCTGCAGGAAGTGTTATTAAAACACTTCTGGCTGAGAGCATTTTGCTCTAACAAATTGGGCTATGTTCGAAGCACATAATTTGTGTTAGTATCAGAGGTTGGGGGGTGAGATCGCAGTGGAACGGAGACCCCCAACAGGGAGATCGTTTCGTTTCGTTCGTGTCGTGCGTGCGGGCGAGGCGAAGCTGCGTGGGCGCGCGAGAGGAATGAACCCGCCGTTGCTAGGGCGAAGTCAAGACACATGTTTCTCCTCCGTCCGTCCGTCCGGCGGTGTCCCGAGGTGTCCCGTGGTGTCCCGTGGTGTCCCGTTGAGTGAGATCGATGGTGAGATCGATACTGAGATCGATGTGGTGCCCCGAGATGTCCCGTGGTGTCCCCAAACATGAGATCGATAGTGACATTGACAGGTGTCCCATAGTGTCCTGTGGTGTCCCGTGGTGTCCCGTTGAGTGAGATCGATAGTGAGATCGATAGTGAGACCGATAGTGAGATCAGAGGTGTCCCGCGGTGTCCCGTGGTGTCCCGTTAAGTGAGATCGTTAGTGAGATCGATAGTGAGATCGACATGTGTCCCATGGTGTCCCGTGGTGTCCCGTTAAGTGAGATCGATAGTGAGACCGATAGTGAGATCGATAGTGAGACCGATAGTGAGATCGATGAGCTGTCCCGCAGTGTCCCGTGCTGTCCCGTGGTGTCCTATGATGTCCCGTTGAGCGAGATCAATAGTTGGATCGATAGTGAGACCGATAGTGAGATCGAGAGGTGTCCCGCGGTGTCCCGTGGTGTACCGTGGTGGCCGGTGGTGTTCCGTGGTGTCCTGTTGGGTGAGATCGATAGTGAGATCGATAGTGAGATCGATAGTGAGATCGATGAGCTGTCCCGCAGTGTCCCGTGCTGTCCCGTGGTGTCCTATAATGTCCCGTTGAGCGAGATCAATAGTTGGATCGATAGTGAGACCGATAGTGAGATCGAGAGGTGTCCCGCGGTGTCCCGTGGTGTACCGTGGTGGCCGGTGGTGTTCCGTGGTGTCCTGTTGGGTGAGATCGATAGTGAGATCGATAGTGAGATCCGATCGAGTGAGATCGATAGTGAGATCGATTGAGTCAGATGTTGGTTCCCCCCCTCTCCCCCCCCCCCACACACAGACTCCTGATCACCCGAAGGGTGGTCGTGTAGGTAACATTTCTGGGATCTGAAGACATGGCGTGGCAGGCCTAGAAGGATGCCGGGAGGGTCGGTCCCCGCTCAACACATCCCTGTCCCTCCTCCCCCTCGGGCGAAACGAGCTGCCCGCCCCCGCCGCCCCGCAGGCGAAGACGGCGGGCGGCTTGCCTCAAAGGGGCCCTCCCGCGGGAGACGGGGGGCCAGGGGGTCGCGTTGCGGCGCCCGCGGCCCTGCAGACCTGAGAAAGCAAGGGCGAGGCGTCCTGGCTTGCCTGTCCTCACTCCCTCCTCCCCTCCTCTCCTCTCTCCTCCTCCTCCTCCTCCCCTCCTCCTCCTCCTCCTCCTCCTCCTCCTCCTCCGCCTCCCTCCTCCTCCTCCTCCTCCTCCTCCTCCTCCTCCTCCTCCTCCTCCTCCTCCTCATCTTACTCCTCGTCCTGCTCCTTCCCCGCCCGGGAGAGACGTAAGACTCGAGTGCGCCGGGACTCGGGCCTGCCGCCGCTGTTTGACCAGCGCGTCCTGGATACTGACAGTCCGGTTTTTTCGTGGGATGTTCGCGTCAGATCTCAGATTGGATCTCGTCATTTTCACGGTGGCCCCGTCAGGCCAACCCGAGTCCCCCGAACCCGAGCCTTGCGTCTCCCGGATACAGACCCACCAGAGGAAGGTTCTGAAAGGCTTTGGGTTTTGCACGAGACGTTCTTAGCGCAGCTCTGGCTGAGACCGTCCTGCGGGAGACGGAGGGGGGTTCAAGGGAGGAAACAACACCCAGACCCGATAATTGGCGTTTACTAAACGGCCTTGGGCGTTGACTAAGCAGCCCTGCCCTGTTCGATTCCTTCCTTGGGCGCGTTTACCAAACGACTTCGCGTGTCGGGGTGGTTAGTATGGGGGTGGATGTTTTGACCTCTAGGGTTGCGCCGCAGCGCCCGCGGCGGCCCAGCCGCCTTGGTCAAGCAGTGTCGAGGCGTCCAGGCATGCCTCTACAGTCAACGCGCCTGGGAAGGACGCGCGCCTTCCTCTAGGGCCGCCCTTGCGTCCTCGCCTCTGCGGCCCGTCCTTTGCCGTTCTCGTTGGTCGCCCGCCGCCCCGAAAATCCACTCTTCGGCCTCCAAGGGTCTCGCGTCCTTGCCACCCGTCCTCACTACACATTTCGACTGCAGGCCCACCAGGGAATGTTCTAAGAGCCTTGTGTGGTTTGCACGACTCGCTCTTGGCGCAGTGCTGGTTGATGCCGTGCTGCTTCAACACAGCGGCTTCTGCTCTCAGAACATTGCTTTTTCATCAGGACGTGTTCCTGTTCTGAGAGCGTTTCGTGGTAGACCTCTCAACAAAAAGATCGTGGTAGACCAATCGGGGTGCCGGGACGGTCTGTCCCTGCCCCGCTGGAGCGGAGGGGAGCCGCGGCGCCCAGCGCCGCCGAGCCACGTCGCGAGGCCCCCTTGAGGAGGCCACGATTGCGAGGGGTGCTCCCGAATTGTTTGCGCTTCGCGAATCCCCGCCAGCCCCTTCAGACGCCCTGCCCACGAGAGCCGACGGAAAATGGCAAGCAGAGACGCATAAAGTGAAGCAGGGCGGTCAAGTAGAGGAGGGGGAGGAGCGTATTGACCCACGTTGGAGGCTATCTTGGAGCATCGGAGGCCCTCTTGGAGCCACGGGCCTTTGGGGGGGACGTCTTGGGGTCACCTTGGGGCTCCTTTGGGGCATCTTGGGGCCCTCTTGGGGCTCTTTGGGGGGTCTTGGGGTCATCTTGGGGCGCCTTGGAGACCTCATGTGGCCCTCTTGGGGCTCTCTTGGGGCCCTCTTGGGAGCTATGGAACGCCTCCTGGGGCCATCTTGGAAGCCATTGATCAAAGGAGGGGGGTCCTTGATGTTCGTCACCCATCCGGGGCCATCGAAGTAGCCTCTTGGGGCGCTCTTGGGGCCCTCTTGGGGCGATCTTGGGCGCTCTTGGGGCCGTCTTGGGGGCCTCTTCTGCCCTTCTTGGGGCTCTCTTGGGCCATCTTGGGGCCATCTTGAGGCCTCAAAAGCGCATCGGAAGCGAACATGCGACAAGGCCAAACTCACTGATGTGCTTTCAATGTTTGAAGGATTTGGCTACTCGGGAAGATCCTGAGGGGTTCCAAAAGCACTTGGATACGTCTTGTGGCCTTCTTGGGGCCCCTTGGAGGCATGTTGTTAGCTATGTTGAGCCATGTTGGGCCATCTTGAGCGACCTTGGAGACCATCTTGGGCTCTCTGAGGCCCTCTTGGGCCAAAAACGACCCTCTGACACCTCGCGGCCTCC